TATAATTGTATACAATATCGACCAAGCATAATAACAATGAAATAAACACAAACACATAAATTACTTAATCTGATAGACATCTTTCGTATCGCGATTAATCACTACCTGTATATTTCTTCTGCATCCCGTACTCCGTTTAGTACCTCATCTCGGCATGTTTCCATGCGCTACTGCGTAGCCTAACCTCACTATACCACAACACGGCTTGTCATCTGTAAGGCCATAGGTTTCAGAGTATCCCTGGGAGTTTAATCTTGGTATTATTTTGATTATTTTTATTTATAAAGGTTGAAAAGCGGGGAAATTCGGGGTTGGGCAAGACATGAACCCCCAAAGCGGGAAAATCCCGCCGAAAGCGGGATGGACAGTTTGAACCCGGTTAGAAAAATTGTAATTCTAATCGAATAAAATGATAATAGAATTTGTTGAGAATGATGTTGCTTCCATTAGATTTGTTTACTGTCATTTGGGGAGGGGGGTGGTTTCTAGAGTGAGCGTTTATTCAAGAGGGGAGAGTCATTTATTCAAAGCAGAGTATTTATTTTTAAATATTCAATTGGCAATTCAAATTTGGAATTTAAAGCACCCAAACCTTTGTTAAGAAAGGACCAAACAGCCATGTGCAGTAGTGTACTGGGATTTTAGACCTTAACTTCAATTGGTCAAATAAGAAACAAGTCAAATAATCAATCAATTGGCCATTTAAAAGCGAAGCGATGAGTTGTTCAGATAAGCTAGTACTGTAGTAGTACATGAGTAGCTAACAGAGAGCAATGCAGGAAGGGGGGGGGGGGGGGGGGCGGGGTTGGGGGGGGGGGGGGGGGCAGTGTTGGTTAAAACAAATTTGCAGAGATTCATTAGTCTGACCGGGGTCAAACCAAAGCACCGCCTAGGGCCACAAGTCAGGATCCCACAGTAAAGCACCAGGTGGGTGCCAAGTATAGAGATTTTAGACCACAAAAAGTAGTTGGATCTGCAAAATTATATTTTAGCATGACTGCTATATTCTCTGGGTGTGGCATCAAATGGCTTCCAGATGGACGACTGAGCTAAATAAAGACATTAAAAAAGACAATTCATTCACATAAGTTTTATTTCTTTTCATAACTAACTACACAAACACATACATACAGAATATTTTGCTGTAAATTGTTTTTTTTTTTCCAAAATAGAATACAGAGGACAAAGAGAGACTTGCAATATCCTACATCCACGATGCTGACAGGATCTAAAGGTTGTTTCTGCATGGAAATATATATATTTATATAAATATATACACATTTATAAAACATATATCTATATGTAATAAAAATAATATAATACTTTGTGAAGGCGGTTAATAATAATAGTTGGTATGGTTTAAATTATGTTCACCAATACCAGTATGGAACCTGAAGCTAATAATGCTTTCAATGACCAATTATGGCATCTTGCCATATTCAAAAATATGTAGGACTTTTTAAAAATACCGGTACAAGCATCTTTTCTGTGATATTTCCTACTCCCAGTTTTACACTAAAACATTTCAAAGTTTAAATTTTTTACATTCAAATTTTAGAATTTTTCACAAAAGAAAAAAAAAGGACCACATCAGTACACTAAAGTCCCAATACCCATCTCACAGCACACATAAAATCAATGATAGTTTTCAAAAAATAACATTCTGATATAATTTCAAGTTTCATGAAAAAAAAATTACTTTGTGAAATATAAGCAAATAGAATATAACCCTGCAGTTGTAGCTAAGGAAAATAAAATGCCCACCATCCAATCCCAGAGTTCTGGGTTCAAATCCTGTAAGCAACATTTTTTTAAATTTTTATATAATGGGACTTGGTTTAAAGAGCATTGTGAATGTTCTTCATTATTTAATACAGTAGTGTATAAATAAAGGATGGGGAACTCACTCCAGAAATTATGTAACCCTCAGTCACCCATACTGAATACTTGCTGGGAAAAAAAAAATTACATATGTACAGGGTAGTTTAAAATCACCTTTATTTTATACCCCCAGCTGGCAACCCAAAACCTCCCAATGTCACCCATCATCAGCCCTTGTCAAGTCAATACCTGTACTAAAGAAATAAAAAAATATATGTATACAATAAATGAAAAAAAAAATAAAAAAATACATGAACAATTTTTTAACAATCATGGTACAGCATGTTTACTAACTTTACTGTGATAGACACTAGAAACTTCAGTTACCCTAGAATATACCTGATTAAATACATTGGTACCTCAAAGGACATTAATTCAAAGATAAATATTGGTCACAAATTTGAAGTAATAAATAGATAGATATATACGGTATTTTATCAAATACTTCAAAGGTATTACATATCAAACACTTATTTGTTGGTCCTTCAATTAATTTTGGTTATTTACTAAAAAACATGGACGGCGATGTCTGGAAAATGGTAACAATAGTATGGACGGTATTTTAATTATTGTTATTCTTCGTACTTGGGCAGTACTGAATCTATCACCATGGACGGATATATGAGTCTATATAGTGACAATTGTTATTTGAATATCAAGGCATACAGGTTGATAAAAAACCAATAGAAAGTTGAACATGTAAAATCGACATTTGACAAGAATCTGAGTATTACTGAAAACATGCTAGAAGAAAGTTTTTAAAAAATTAATAAAATTTACAATTTCCATACTAAATAATATGTAAATTCATAATTTACTTTATCAATATAAGCAATTTCACATACTGTATTCAATAACAAGTAAACTCACAATTTACATGCTTATTAACATGTAAATTTATAATTTACATACTCATTAACATGTAAATTCATAATTTACATATTAAACATTTGTGCACACCCTTTCTTTTTATAATAAAATTCTTTTTTTCACATTCATACTAATCTAGTGGAGTTGTTGAAAATAGCACACGCACACACAAACGCATTATATAAAAAACATCAAAGTACAGGACATACATTGCATCTGGTATTTACATGCATATGCATAAGCTAATTTGAATATTCAATTTAAATTTGCAGCAAGCTTTTCTGACTTCTAAAATATTATATTAAACCAATAACAATGACTACCAGGGTTATTTTACATTCTATTTACAATCTTCATACAAAAACTATATCTCATTTTTAGTACCAAACACGATCAACATGTACTGTATGTGTCAAATAATTTGATTGGTTAATTACCACATAATTATGCACATTCTATGTGTCGGATAATTTGAGTGGTTAAAAACCATACATGAGCTGTATGCCATATTTTTTCATCATTTCTTTTAAAATAAAAAATAAGTTTTTATTTATTTATTTATTTTTAAATTTCAGACAATGATGATATGAATGGAATTTTAAAAATTACCATCTCTTCCTATAATTGTATCTAAATTAAATTTGTTATAAGAAGTTTGATATTAAATTTATTGAAATCTCACAATTTTTATTCATTGACAAAAGATCGATGATACATTTATTACCCACTGAAATCTGTGATTCAATCTTTCAAAAGCAGGCAAAATTATTCTACTCTTTAAAAAAATTACAATTCTAAAATAATAACAGGAAAATAGAAGTTAAATAAAAAACAAAACTGTTATACCAGGAGGTATATAATAAGATATAAAACAAATAAAAAAAATAAAATCACATTTAAAATACAAGATAAGTTTATATGCCTGGATCATACCCTTATGATTTTAAAATGTTATAATATTTTTTGCGAGCTAAAATTTGACGACTCAAATAAAATAACTGGTGCTGTCTTGTTAAAGTACAATCAACCAGGCCTGCAATCAACAACTAATTATTTTTTACAAAATGCACACAACTTTTACAATACAAAATACAGAAACAGAGTTGCAGATTCCAAAATAGCAATTGATAATATTGTAGAAAATTCTAAATATTAAACATATAAAATTATTATTTCATCCAAAAATCCAAAATATACAGGTTATTTAATTTCTAATTATTTTCTACATATAACTTCACTACAATCTTCATTGTGTTTCATCCATCTTCATCATAGGCACTATATAGTAAACAAAGAAACCATTACAACTAATTAAAATATAGGAATGGTTTGAAGGTTTTAAGCGAATGTGTTTTCTTTTGGTCCAACAACTCTCCGTTCGTCTAATATTTTTGTTCCACCTGAAAAATTGCTTTATCAATTTCAACAGAGTGGAATGAAATATTGACTAAAATACTGACCTACAATGTCAATATAAAGAAATTATTTAAACAAAATATTTCTCATGAAAATACAAGTCGACAGAAAAATGTCAACATCACCCAAGCATATAAAAATACATAACACTCACTCAAGGGCAGACTAACACTCAACCACTGATTGAATATCATGCAATTATCTGAAGATATTCAAATAATTTGAATGTTTTATAAAAATAGATCCTTCACTAACAATCTACGATAGAACAATGTATTTAAACAAGATATTGATTGACCATAACATACTGTACTTATACGGAGATTATCAACTAACATTTAGGGAGTTGTATGGTAAAAACAGCTATGAAATAATATGGTGGTTAAGATGTTCGCTTTTAAATTCTAGATTTCCGGGCTCAAATCATTTGAATTTTCATGATTTTTTTGTTTAATAAAAACACTAATTCTACTCCATGGCCCCATTAATGAGACTCGGTCTGTAAGGTAATAAAGTGCTTAATCTTGTAGTTAATTTGATTTTTTTGTTAGATATACAGAAACACATTTGATATCTAAGGATCTGTACTGGAAATGAACTGCTTCTATATAATTTCTACTGTACACTTAAAAATTTAGATTCACTGTATGTAAAATATAATACACAAGGTGTTAAAAATAGATAGGCCTTCATCCTATCACACAGGACAAAGAGGAAGTTAAAATTGCTGGATGCCTTTTGACATGAAAACGCCAACCATCATTGGTCAGTGTCGGTTGCAGCGTTCATTCATTGAGGGCAGCAAACAATTATGACTTCACTTTTACTACAAGACGTTCAAGGGCACAGATACTCAGTTATTGGAATGGACGAATCATCATTGAGATTACTTGGAATGTTATATTCACTAAAAAAATTAACAAAAAAGAGATAATATTTTTTGCAAACAATGTTTATATTGCAGATGATTTTGATACAGTGTGCATAATTATTTCCTGCACTCAAAAACTGATATATTTTAGAGGTAAGCTGTTAATTAGAGCTTGATTTTCTAAGGCATTTAATTTACAATGCCAAAGTTTTAGGTTAAAATCTATCAAAACTGTACTTTAAAAAAAAAATAAAAATGAGACTTACACTAGGTACACATTCAGATTTGTGTTTTGTCTAAAAATAACCCCCAAAGTATGATCAAACCTAGTCTGATGAAGCAGGACATCTTTAACAGATATGGAAAATCACACACCTTGTGTGTTTATATAAAATAAGCTTATGCTACTACACATCTGATCAAATATTGTTTGACAGAAAAATAGAGTATAGTGTATGCAGATTTTAGTTTCATCATCTTCACTTAAACTCCAATTGGCAAGTTATTTGCTGATGGATTTGAATACAAACAAAATGATTAGTCATCACCAAAAATATATTTATTTATATATCTATTTTAAGAATGCAAAAAAATGTTGTGCGTGAAAACATATTAGCGCGAGTCTTACGATGCACCATCAGCGTACACGGCTGACAGTTGGCTCGGACATCGATCAACTGCATTCATCTGCAGCATGTGATGCGTATCTTCGACAACGTGACTTGCGCTCAAGATCGATGCGCCAAACTCACTAGGTGTGTTTGGTAAATCGTTGTAAACTGGGGGAAAAAAAAAATATAAATATATACAGTATAGGGCTCTGATTATTCCACAAGAACCTTCCAAAAAAAATATACCTTCATATTAAAAAAACATTATTCCTGAGTCGGAAAACAACTGATATATCATATTAAATAATTACAATTAAATAATAAAAGTATTGGATTCATATCAGAAAATACCAAAACAAACAACATCACCAACAAAAAAAACAAAACAAAAATAAAGACATTAATAAAATTAAGAAATTAGCTAAAATATTTTGGAATCTGAACGTTGGCAAAAATAACATTTCCAGAAAGTTCAAAATCTAGAGACATATTTTGTTTGATAAGATAGTAATACTCATATCAATTATTATTTGTTGCAACTTACAATTCTCAGAGATTCGTACTGAATGGGCAGACAGCGCCCTCTCCAGTGTCTCCACATTCAGTTGTGGTGATGTCGGTGTTAACGTCTCCTCAAATGTTGGAATGGCAAGCAAACCTTTCGGAGACTTGTATTCATTATTGTTGTTGTTGTGTGGCCTTGGAATTGGATGCAGAGTCTGCAACGTGAGGCTAGGCCGAGCCATCTGGGAGCGATGCACCATCATACGACAATTGGGTTGCCCGACAGGAGGGTGAGGCATGGGTATAGGTTGAGGCTTGTTGCAATTCCCGAGGCCTAGAAAAAAAGATGAAATTTATTTTATATGATTGATTCAATTTTGGCATAATAAATAATATTTTAAAATGTAATAAAATCAGAATGATTGTCAACAAAAGAAAAAAAAACCCCTGTTGAAGTTAATTAAAAGTATAACAACAACAAAGATAATCATGACAATAATGTCCATCTTAAAAAAGATTGAATTAATTCTATTTGTATGTATATTTGTATGGTAAGGTAACTTGATAGTGAACTAATTAAGTCCCTCTATATGTTATTGAGATAAAAAACAGGTACAGTATTAAGTATACCCTGAACCATGAAAATACCCGTCAATTGCTCAGTACATAAAAACCATTCAAACATGATGCCATTATCCTAGGCTATTAACATGATGCTACTACTTGGCCCAGGATATTAATTCCTTTCTTATATTTGTAGGCTCAGAGCTCCTAAAATTTCCCGCCAAGTCAGATCGCTTTCCGGATCTTGTAACAAAATCTTTTGATAAATTTAAAGAAATGGATATTAGTGATGTAGTTTTCAAATGACTATTATCAAAGGATATCCTGAATACTTAGCAAACCACTGTAAAATTGTTTAGGATGTTTGGCCAACAATGAACAACTCCCAAATCTACATTAGATAAGGAATAGGTATTACAGTATATTAACTGGTACTGTATATACTCTGTATGTTTTGCAACAATTTCCATACAGTACCAAATCCCAATTAATTACAGTCTTTATTATCTAGGGTTTACAGTCAACGGGAGATTCACAATATAGTAGACTTTCCTGGATTTAATAGCATTATGAATGATGGACGAATAAACTATGATAAATGGGGAACACAAAAGAAAACAAAAGATATAGAATGACATTGTACTGTATAACAAAAAGATAAAAGTGATAATAAACATTTAAAAATAAAAACCACATATTTAAATTCCAGTAAGCAATAAAATAAATAATAGCCTTAATAAGAATAGCAAGTAAATTTAGAGAAAAAATAAATGAAAAACAACAAAAGCAGAAAGGTGTATGAATGAGTATTTGGAGCCAAAGAAGTCTATAATTATCTTGTTAGATGATTTTTGTTTGTTTTTTTTTTGTGCTAGATAGACTAAAAGTTTCCTGGTTGAGGTTTTTTTTTACACTATCAGTCCATTTACATATTACTGTTATTTAATATAAGCTTTCAGAATGGATTTACAAAATATTTATCTTTCAAACCATTTCAGAAAAAAGATGAGAAAAATATTTTGTTAGTTCGTACATAGGTAAGTTCCAGCTGTCCCTGACCACTGAAAATTGTACAAATTATTTTCTATTGCAGTTGGTCAGATAGATAATTATTGTTATTATTAAAAATTAAATAAATTAAGGCCATGACTCATGCTAGGCTGGCAAACGGCTACCGAAAACACTGACAGAAACCAGGCAAAAGATATGCATTCCTACCCATAAAAAGAGGTCATCCGACAGACCTTATATCTGGGTTGAAATAATGTGTTTATGGACAACCTGCTGGGCTAGGCCCTAGGCTGCTCAAGTTGAGTATTCAACTAGTCTCTCCTGCCTGTCTGTCCATACCCTTTACCTTGACCAATTGGCCTTTCAGCCAGAGAATCTCAGCATTTAAATTCACAACAACTTTCTAAGTGAAGTTGTTCAATGAAGGAATACTACCATAAGGCCATATAAAAAATTTTAGTTTACCATCCTATTTAGTCTGAAAAAGTGATGATAGAGAGAGGGTTTTTTTTCCCTTTCTTTTTTCCTAAGCCAAGTATCACCCTTGAGTTGATTGCTGGTGCACTGATATTCTATTCTAATTCTATGCAGATACTCATCAACGCCTGTTCAGCATCTGGATGAGGACGGGGGGCTTGAGATGAACCATTGCACTGGGGTAACCCCTACTTGTCTCGAAAGATGTACTGGGTTCTTTATAGCGCACATGAGCCAATTGTGTACACTGGGCCTACGCTACGGTTTCTAGTCGTTATCCAAGAACACTTGCTCCACCTCCAGAGGCATAGCCGAGCGTGCCGTTCGAACCAGCGCCGATATTATCTTACTTGAATCTTACTTGAAACATGATTGTTCTAATATAAACAATATCTACTAACTATTTAATACAAAAAGATTTCAAAAATATATATATATTTTTTCAGTTCCAGAGAAGATATGTGCGCGAGGATTAGGGTTAGGAAACTAATAATTTTTTTTATTGGGCCTAATGCTACAACTTAAACTACACTAGCCTCTTCATAGGACTGATTTATAGCAATAAATAGTATATTGCAAACGAAGAAGCTTTGAATACACAGAATTGGGAGAAATATATTACAGTAGAGAAATGAGAAGTAAACTAATTATTACTGTAGATTATATCCATTTGATTGGTACTCAGTAAATATTTCATCTCATCATGATGGACTATTCAGGAAAGCTTGAACATTTTATACAAATTTGGAATAATTAAATCTTAAAATAAGAAAATATATAAAATTTCCAAAGAAACACTCATATAATAAGAAATGAATTTACAGGTAAAATGTGCAGAAGTGAGGGTAAAATAGTTAATACATACTCCAAGTACCAAAATGCACATCATCATATAGGGATTCAATATTTCATGTCATCATCAGGAAAATTCCTGATGATGACATAATTAATGTCGAAATATGAATCTCTACACGATGGCGTGCATTTCGGTACTTGGAGTATGTATTATACTATCTTATCTGAGATTAATCAGTGGACCTATCGGTTGATGGTAAAAGGGATGCAGTTGCAGAGGTAGATACCATCTATATAGAAAATCTCCCGGAAGCAAAAAATCCAGGTATGTATAAATGAAATAATAGGTAATGACGACTTTACAATAGAAAATTAGTCAATGCCCCGTTGCACCAATTAGGCCATGATTTAAAGTACTAGAATCAATATATATGCAGATGGTACCAAAGTATAAAGGAAGTGCAACCTAGATATCCACACACCTGAATAACACACCTGACTTAATAATCACCTGTGGAACAGGGTAGGTCTACTTTTTCCAAACTTGCCCAATATTAATGGAATGATACTTTTGCACAACACAGATACTGTAGTTCCTATCTTCTGATTTTCTGTAATTATTTTTAATTGGTTTTAATTCTTTGTTGTCTTTGCGTTCTTAAATGATCAAGTAAGCACCTTCTCAAATAAGCATCGCTCTCAAAGAAACACAGCACAAAATGTAATTGTGTTGCCAAGCATTGTGCCATGCATTGCAGATGTATTATATTTTTAATAAACTTTGGTGCTCAGGATGTCTTAATATTCCATCATTAGGTCACCATTAAACAAAGTTTTTCAGGAAATATTTTACAGAAAGTTATATAGGCTTATGTACAGCATATATCATTACTTCAATATTCCATATATTTGTAATAAGCGCCCACTCATAAAGAACCCTCCTCCATTGAATAATTGCCTAAAAAATTTAAGAAGCATCGCAATACTTTCATTTGCAGTATGCTTCAGAAAAACATTTTTAATATTAAAATATCTTTTTTATTCCAACATTATTTTATTTGGTTACATTGATTTCAAATCAACAATATTGATTCAGGCAAAATACAGAAGAAAAAAAATAAAATATTATTTCTAAAAATGACCTGAACTTAATGAAGGTCAGATAAAGAACAATGTCGAACGAGAACAATGAAGCTTCTGTAATGCTCCGATGTAATACAACACGCGGCTATCTATAGCAATTTCAATGGAAAGGAAGTATCCATGTTACTAGAAATGAGTGTCATTCAGTGTTACTAGGCTCCGAGGCATCTCAGCAAAGAAAAGGTGACTGTAATCAGAGACAGCGTATACCATGCAGCACCACGATCATCATCGCTATTCTCAGGTAGTCGTGTTTTGGACTCGGCCTTCAAAATTACAAACCACATAGAAGAAAGCATATTTGATAGTGGTCTATGCACATCTCATTGCCCATTTTCAGGTAGTTTGCGTAAAATAATTTGGACCATACAGAAATCACCGACCACTAACTAAAGACATTTGACACAGGATGCTTATACTGCTTCCAACATAGTTCATGTTTCAATTAAATTTTAGAGAACTAGTTTAGTGGGTAAAAATGAAGGACGGTATATCAGGACAACCTCGGATTAGACTAGACAGGCGGAACAGTGAGGTCATTGACCTGCAGTGGCTTCAATGGCTAAGGATGATGATGATGATGATGATGATGATGATGATGAGGATGATGATGAAGGTGATTATATAACAGTAATAATAATAGTGATAATGGGGATATACATACATTTAACTTCATAACAATGAAATAAGTAATGTTGAATTATAATAAAATAAAATGTCTATAATGTGCATATAAAAAGTCCAACTGCAGACACAATCATGTTTCAAGTATTAGATGGTTTATGTAAGCAAAAAATTTGTATATATACACACAAAATTGAAATTGTGAAAATTGTAAAACAGACACGGTAAAATAAATATTTTAAATAATAAAAAAAAACAATAAGCACAGTTATTGCATAAGCACAAATTAATAAATAATTTATAAACCAAAACTATAAATTAAATAGAATGTAAATGTATTGCAAATTTCTTATTGTAAAGCTTTGAGAGGGATGTGAACAAGTACAATGTCAAAGGTTAATACACAGTACACCATAGTTCAAACTTTCATAGGTGAAGCCAACAAAATATTGATAGTACCTGGATTTATACAATCATCATGCATGTTTGCTTCTGCTAATAGTTATAAAGTTGAAAAAGAAAGAGAAAAAAACATTAAATAAATGAACTACATGATAGATACACAAAAAAACAATGTTAAAAAAAAGAGTTACATGGAATTAAATTTTTAAAAATATATTTATTCAATAGAATTATGTAGAGGGAAAGGTCCAAATTAAGTAGGAAGAGAAGACCTTCCTAAATATATTTTTGAAGATTTTATTAGATGGCCAAACAAAAAAAAATACTAGTTTCTCATCCCCTTGTGCATCCATTTTATATGCCTCACCAAATCTTTGTTCACATCAGTTCCTCTTAATCGTTGGGGATACATATTGTATGAATTATGTCAAGTGCTTCTTTTATTTGCTTTCAATGTGTCTACTTGGTAATAGTGAGAAAGTAATAGCTGTTTCCCATCGACCATCTTGGATTTGCCATCTCGGAGTCAAAAAAAAAAAGTGCCCTTATTATTCCTTTTTTTAAAAATATTAGGACGAGAAATTACTTTCTTTTTTACTTCGCCTAATATTCCATATTAAGAAATGAGATTCCATATTAAGAGGCAAGATTTCATATTAAGATATAAGAGCTCCATATTAGGATAATCCATATGAGGAACACCTGAGAGGAGTCTTACAATTGGACTGTACATTAGGAATGACTCAATATTAAGTGACCGATTTTAAAATTGATTTTATTGATTGATTAATGATTACTTAATTGATTTATTTATTAAATTTTTCATGTGAAAACCTTTAACCTTTCTTCAGCAGCAGAGAGAGACTGCTTTCTGGGAATCACTGCAACGTGGGGTTGACATTTGAAAACAGGTCCAACACCCGGAGAGAGAACAAACAAAATATGTTAACTCTACACTTCCAAGGAGGTGATGAGACAAACTTTATTACACCAAATACAAATTTAAGCAGTTAATATAATTTCTATGAATAATGATTATTAATAACAACAAGGCAATGTTAGTGGTCTTATGTTGCCCTTCGCTCTTACTTTCCTGCACTGCAAATGTGTCCTTGGTTGGTTATTTTGTCAGTTCTATGTGGGCTAAATTTTGTGGTACAACATGTCCAAAGCAAAGAATGGTAGAGTTGAATTGGCAATTGTAACTAACCTTGACTTGACAGTGATGGGGGCTTAGGCTTCAGTTGTACTGTCATGAAAGAGTGTGGAATTGAGCGCGAGATTGGTACTGGAGGGGGGTAACTTCTCCTCGTTAATTGAGGTAAACACTTAATTCTGAAAAAAAATACAAGAATATTATTGTACGCTGATATGATTACAATGGCATAAGAGGTTCTAAATGATCAGCTCTTATAAAGAGACTTGTTTATAGAGCAGGGTGCAAATGATCAGTTCTTTACTCCTTAAGTGGCAGCAGCCTTGTAAAGAGATTCAGTAATAGAGAATAAAATGTCACAAAATTAGCTCTCCACCCCCCAAGCCTCATAAAGAAACTTGGTAAAAAAGCACCGAGAGTCCCATATGACCAGCTCTCCAATGCAAGTTTCGTTTGTACACAACTTTTTGTTTAATATAATAATAATTATATAGTGCATTATGAAGACAGCTCTATGCTCTTCACATTACCATTACCCTGGTCAGTGCATTAAACGCCTATGAAACACATACTCAGCTCCTGGGGGAAGACGTTTGATTATGTCATCAACCTCCATCACATTAATTATTCACATGTGACTAAACACCATGTAATGCCTACACCTCAGGTGGTCCATATCATTTGAATTAAGCCCATCAGGTGACATCGTGTGATTGGTCACTGTCATGTGACTGATCAATATCACATGATGTTTTCACACCAGGTGGTTCATATCATTTGAATTATTCACATCAGATGGTCGACATTATGTGATTGGTCATTATTATGTTACTGATCAACATTCTTTGACTCACTCACATCATACCTCCATGCTCACATTAGGTGGTCCATATTCTATAAGTCCATCAACAATCAGTCCACATGTGGATTACCTTTAGATTGACTTATTCTAACTGTTCCACCTGATATACCTGTAGATCTATGGCCCACCTGTAGGTTCACCTGATCCACTGGTAGGTAGATCCACTCATCCACTGGTAGATTTACCTGATCCACATGTACATCTAATCATCCACAGGTACATTTACCTGATTTACCTGTAGATCCATCGCCCACCAGTAGTTTAACCTGATCCACTGGTAGATCCACTTATCCACTGGTAGACCTGATCCACATGTACTCCTTATCATCCAAAGGTAGATCTACCTGATTTACTTGAAGATCCACCTGATTTACCTGTAGATCTATGGCCCAACTGTAGATTCACCTGATCCACTGAAATCCACTCATCCACCGCTACATCTACCTGATCCACATGTACATCTAATCATCCACAGGTAGATCTACTTTGATATACCTTTAGATCCATCTGATCCACATGTAGATCCATCTGATTCACTTGTATATCTATCTAATCCACCTACCCTACCTATGGATTTATTTAATTCACCTACATCCACCCAAATATTCATCTGAATGTTAATCCAACTGTAATTCTATACAGTATTCCAACTTTGTACCTATAGATCCAACATATCTACTTATGCCTACCCATATCATCAAATCCTTTAGGCTCTTGTATCAGACAATAAGGTACACACTGCTATAAACCTACCTCTGGCTTGTATCCTCGGAAGTTGATAAGGGATGAGCAGGACCATGAGGGCTCCCTTGTAAGCTGTGAACAGGTGATTGATGGTTGCCATAGTTGGATGCACCCGTAGCTGTGCCGCTTCGACTTGATTGGACACTTGAATACAATCCTATTAAAGGTGTAACAACAATGCTTATTTATATTCGATAAATAAATACCAATTGATACACCATCTTTTTATTCATACTTAACATTGTTAACATACATATGGGAATCACAGCCATTTTCCAGCATTTAAGACAAGACACTTGCGCCACCTATTTTACTGAAACTTCTTATGCGATTGAACTACCATTTACCAAAATCGCACTGCGCTCTAAGTAACGGAAAGAGGCCACTCAATAGTGCCAGATAGATAGGTCGCAATATTTACTGGTTCGCAATGGCAAAAAGTGTTCTTTCCGGTCGCGATCTCGTGGCTGTACCAAAGGTGGGCTTAGCAAGAGGCTTACTGTCTTAGCACCCAGTCTAGTTTGAAATTCCCACTAACATCGTGCAAAATTCGTGGAACTTTGACACAGAATATGCCAGGGACTTTAACTACCAATTTCACCGTGGTTATTTCCCACACTTGTGCTACAAAGCCCTCGCAAGTATACCCCATAAATGCTGCAACTCCCCCTCCCCTCTTATACCCCACACTTGTGCTACCAAGTCCTTGAAAATATACCCTGTAAATGCGGCACCTCCACGTATAGAAATATTTAAGAGTGACCCTCCAAGGTTAAAAGGCATAGGCTACATCAACACACATTACTACAGTAGTTAATCCTTAATATAACCTGCATTTTATTATGTTGCCCATTGCTTTTCAAAGATACCTTGATTCTATATTGCTTCTGCATTTTGAAGAACGTCTAAAGTGCATATAAACACTTACTACCAATACAATTATTTAATTCACACAACAATCTACACTAAACCACCTTCACCCATCACTATGTTACTTTGCTCTCTACAACACTATTTTCCCTTGTAATCTGCATTGCACAATTGCAAGAAAAGAAACTATATCTAGCACTATGTAATACGAAACGGTATACATCATAAATTTTGCCCTGTCCCTCAATTTGGATTATGTTCGCACAACCCCACACGCTGTCAAACATTAACGAAAGGTGAGTTAGTTATTTCTATTCTTCCTTGTAAACTTGCCTTCTTGCTATTTTTACTTGCTGACCTAGAACACATGATAGCCTGCCTCTAAAGGTCAGATTTTCATATAAACTCCGAAATCAAAATTCAATGTAATTAGATTAATTTTCCTGCTGAGGTATCATATGTAAACTGGGATTTGAGAGACGTTGTGGCACCAATCAATTCACCCACCAGCAGAAACTTTTGGAGGGAAAAATATTGCCAAAACTATTGAGAATGTTTTATTTTCCAAGAAGGAAAGAGCTTGTAAAAAAAATAAATTTATATTTTCTTGACATTTACTCCAGATAATCATAAAGCATCTGGATTTAAGCACACAAACATTTACACAATATTCTAATTTACTGTTATTAAAAGTTTTGGTTAAATTTATCAACTAGGTTATTATGAAACAGTTTAATTTAATCGCACTAGTTACAATCGTATAATATTGTTTTGTAGGGGGAGTGGATTCGTTTTAGTATTTCTTGAAATATAACATGGAAAACTGATATGAACTGGCAAAGATATGAGATATAGGGAGAAACTGAAATAAATCTATGGTGTTTAGGTTTTATTGTCCTTCTACTCATCTATTATAAGGTACAGCTTTTATTCTCAGACCAAAAAGTAATTTTCACTTGAAATACAGCAAAAGTGTTGATTACCTGCCAAAGTCAAGTAGCGTGAAAAATCAATTTGCCACTGCCATGATCAACCTTTGACCCGGGTTCTCTAGCGAAAGGAACAAGATCAAGTTTTGGATGGGCTCAGTGAGGACCTGAGCGAGTCACGCTCGGATCTCAAGCTGACAGCATTAACAATGAGCGGGAAAAGAACCTTCTATTGGTCCACCATCTCCGGGAAGCCAATGTATGTTCCAAATTCTCCTTGAACACCCCCAGGCAATGACAAACATATCTTAACATAACCAATCTGTTTACTTATTATAAAGCAAAACCTTCCCAGACAGTTTGTGTACAGGTATTTCAGGTATATTTTTCTCAAACTATTTAATCAATAAATCAACTGCACACAGGTAAGTTTACAAATCATGAATTTTATTTATGAGGTTCAAAAGTTTCTTGTGTTTGTGTACAACCAGCAATTTACAACAACACATAATTTGAACAAATACAGACAGATTTGTTCATACATGAATTATAATACCAATGTCTCCCAGTGTTGTCTAAAACTTGAGCAAAAAAAAGGGGCAAAGGTGATACCAAGGTAAAAATTCATTTCCTAAAACCAAAACCACTTCTGTATATTTAATATTTATTTGTCAAGTAAAATACAATGATAATCCTGTAAAACAACAAAAATACTAATGTAAACTATAAAATATGAGAATCTGTTATATAGTACTACAGTGTAACAAAAACTATAAAAAGGTAAAATTCTTTTCCAAAAAATAATGTGACATACAAGGTTGAATTTGTAAATAAAATTCTAATTGAAGTATGTTTATGAAGATAACAGTTTTATATGATTTATATTTTATTGATGCTCCATGTAACATTAACTAGCCTTTGAGTACAGTTAAATTGTAAGTCAAACTGAATTTCCAAAAAGACAAATAAAAGGAACTATGAACATCATCATTATTATTATACAATTCAGAAATTTCCCAAAAAATAATTCTGTTTATTCAAAAGGATTTCCAAAATAATTCTGTGATGTTTAATTTTTTTAATTAGAGAAAAACACTAAAAATTAATTTGTAAAATAGGGAAAAACAACACAACAAAAACATAAAGTTTGTCCACCAAACAGAATATCACATATTCTCTGTAATGGGAAAACAAAATGTGATATAATTTATTGCAAACCTTTAATTTGAGATTGGAGTAGGCCTATATCAGTTTTCATGTACTAAGAATGTAAACTACATAAACACTGTTAACTTGTTGATTGGGATCTGACAGTACTACCACTTGTCAAGGTGATTTGGTTTCAGCAGGGAACATTTAAATTTCAGGCTGTTTACTAATAATGGCTGCCTCAATCACAAAGCTTTTCTACAGGGGAATTCCCCCATCTCTTATATTATTTCTAAGCTGTTTATTCACATATTGTTGATACGAATGATTACCTTACTATTTAGGCTTAAGAGGTAGGGCATATGGGCCCTATAGGTCTTCCTATAATGTCAACTCGCACACATTATAAATTAACTTCAAAAGCCTATAGATCTAAATAGGTGATGCAGTATGCTAAATGTTGGTCACTTACGAACACCAAGTTTATTAGAAAAGAACTAACAACATCCAAGAATCATTTTGTGAACCCATAAAAAATATTGATTAAAAGTCACGAGACAGGTGCTTTAATGTCAGTAATCTCAACAATACTAGAGCTTTGCAATCACCATGACAACAATAACAAATCTGCAACAACCGCCAAATTGTGAATGACGACTATATATGCTGTAATTATTAGTGATATATATCATCTAGTTCTACAAACACTGCCATAAAAAAAAAACCACAACCACATTCTATTGAGGTCAACAATAAACACCTATAATAAGGATCCTGTACATTGTCTCTTGCAAAAAAAAAAAAAAAGACTACATTTAATTCACACCTGATTCTATTTCTACTATGCACGTGTACAACATATTGTGAATTTGTTTTCAAAACTCATTTTAAACCTGATTGGGCTTATATTGTATTTTTAAAAATTTTTAACCTTTTACTGAATGCTAAAGAAAGTCTAATCTACCTTCCCAATTTAGTAAAAAGTTTGCTTTGTTTAATTTCACACCCAACAGGAAATTTTGCACTTGCTTATTTCAGGATGGAATGATGTCCCGTAAACTAAGTACCATTTTAAGGGAATTTGTTAGTGTAAATGAAAACAAAATCCTGGTGTCTCTCATAATTCGAACACAGGAGCCTAAGAATGAAAGGTAACCATCTAAACAAGCACACTTAAATTCCACTTCTACCATATTCTATTCAATAATAAGGTATACATCAAACTATATGAATTATAATTTTGTATATTTGTATTGCATGTCATGAGCAAAGACCTTGGATTTAGCTCGAACCATAAACACCATGACCATAGGCAATGCACTATGTAAAAACTTGCGTTACACATCACTTACCAATTACGAAACAGAAAATGTTTACATTGTTAACATAATCAACAGCATTATAGCAGGCTAACCCTAAATCATGTGAATACATGGCACACAAAAATACTCACCTGGAAACATTTCAGAACCATTTCCAGTCATTGATGAATTAAGTGACCTTCCGAGGGCACTGTCACTCATCTCCATTGGACTGTCTGCATGTCCGAAAGTTTGTAACCCAGAAATCGTTAAACAGTCATTGAGAATATCGGGTCTGCAGAAATCTTCTCTTGTACGAAGCTGGACAAAATTTTGAGAGAAAAAATTTTGAGAGAAAACATAGTGCTAATTTTTATTTAGGCTTTTGAATTTTTCTAAGTAATCAGAGTGGAAAAAAGAAATCTGATTAGAAATTGATTTCAAATTACTTTTAGGTATACTTTTGTAATTTAAAACTCAATTATTTAGGGATTATTTCAATTATTACATTTTTCCTACAATTGTACAAACGTTCCTTTGGAGTCGGTCAGTCACTTTCATACCATTTTGTAAGTGACACAACATGTGATGAACAATAGCATTTTCAAACCTTTTTTCGAGCTTGCTGGTCTTTTGCTGTGTGTGCCTTCACGTGTTTGCGTAGTGAGCTGGGATCGGTGTACCGCTTCGTACACCCTGGAATTTGACAAGCATACGGTTTCTAAAATAATAAACAAAATGAGATTAAACTGCGATAATCTTTTAAGAATAAAAATGAAATTAATTTCTTGACAGTTATACTTTCTTTCTTATCAGGGGTGGCACCAGGGTTTGCCTGATGGTGAATGTTTCCAATGTTTCCACAATGTTTCCAATGTTCAATGTTTCCACAATGAACGTAAGTGTGTACAGTCGGGCGTCGCTCTAAAACTCTTGGGAGTGTGGTCCCGGGGTGAAGCCCCTGAAACAGTAACGATTTAGTGGTTTAAATTGTGAAATTAAGATTATTATTATATTAATATGTTAAAAAAAAACAAAAACAATTTTTTTTTTCTCTCTGACTAACAGTGTTTTTCCTTCTCTTCCCTGTCCCACTCTCTGCTGGTACCATCTGTTTCTTTTCCATCTAGTCCCGAGCGCATAGAGACCTCGTTTATCTGTGCTATATAAATAAATCTATTATTATTATTATTATTATTATTATTATTATTATTTTGTCTCTGCTTTCTAGTGCAGAGGTTCAAGTTGGAAGATTCTACTTCCTGGAGATCTTACATAACCTTTCCATATTAACTATATTTTGATGACTTCTGGCAGACAATTGAAAATATAGTAGTAAAACGGGTAACTGTTGCCAGAGATGGGTTAGATTCTGTAAGGCTTTTGCTTTTTTGCAGGACTATGGGAGACCTTCTCTATTTATGGAAAGACTCCTATGACTTGCGAGAGACTTAGGCTCCCTCGCAGTATATCAGTTGTGTTCCCGATCTAACTGTTTTGATCCACTTAATATTACATCTTCCTTGTCAAATTATATTCATATACAGTATTTCATTTTCTTATAAATCATTATTAATATTAATACATTATTTCTTTAATAATTATGTCAATTTCACTGAGGTTCCCATTATTGTTTGCATGTGTGTGCTTCATAACCTTTGTGTTTCTACAGGTTACGACACGGAACTGCGATCTTTCGTATGTTACATGAGAATCTTGACATTATGGTATGACCCACGACAACTGACATGTGACTATTGTGCAGCTAGCCTACTACAGTATCTACTTTCTACTGTGCTTCAAAATTGTGAATTTCTCATACTTTTTTCTGAAAGTACAAAAAAAGTTGTTTATCAAATATACTACGAGCTAAGTTCATAATAAAAACCTTTTATTAACTGATATGTAGTCAATGAGTAACAATTACAGATTTCAATGTTTACTATTTAAGTTCCTGTATATTGAGAAAAGGAGACTGGAAATCTATCAACAATTAAATGTTTCCGGAAAATACTGCGATATCAATAGGATCACATCTAGTTGCAACCTATAGTAAACTTCACTATTGTAAGGTAAGGTCGAACGAGAAGTTAATCTTGCAATCCAACAACTTCTTTCCATTATTCACGGCTACACGTGCCGTCAAGGCAGACATAGCTCTCCAAGTCAATAACCATACACACGATTGTTTGAAGACTCTAAAATCATGGGCTTTGTGCCTCAAACCATAAAATGACTTTTGAAAGTCCATAAACCATCATAAAATTCTACTAAAATAGATGACATTAGTTGCTTGTTTCGCTACAAATTTTATAATTTGTATTTTTCTATTATTATGGATTTCTATTGGGTAATTTTTGGACGTACCTTTAAAGAGGAAGCGTGCCACTGTTAAAAAGTGTATTCTAAGAAAAAATTACATTTTCTTAATACAAATATGTAAATTAACTTAAACTATTTTTTACATCTAAGAAAGTCTATCCAAGGTGGGAAAGGATTATTAAAGTTTTTTTTTTCTCTGATTTCTAAACTTCATCTAATTGAAGAAAGAAAATAATACTATAGTAATATTAGCCCTTTTTCTAAACATGTGCATTTAAATTTTAATAATCTACAAAATTAAAAACATTCTTGAGTTAAATGCTTGAGCTGGTTTCTCAAGTTACTTAATCCTTTTGCCGTCTTATTTCAGGCTCAGTCTGTGAGTTCTACCCCCTAGGAAAACTTACTTGGATCTGAATGGAGCCAACAAGTTACCGTGGAAATCCCCTACTCGATGATTTCAAATAAACCAAGTCAACAAGCTTGGTTGTTCAATCCTAGATTATAAGAGATCAAAAGTGGCATCCACATGCAACTTACTACTAATACTATCAGTAAGCTAAGTAAGTTGGTAGATTGAGCTTTGGTAGTATTATGGTATTAATGGTGGTTTCAGCTTTGTACAAAATCAAAATCATTCAATCCAGATGTGTGCCAAAACAAAACACAATAGTGGCAAGAGCAGTGGCGCAACATAGGTGACCAGACCTAATGTGCATGTTCCAGGTTCAAATCCTGGCAATGGCAATCTTTATGTGCTTGGGTATAAATACACTTTCATCTTGTCCTTTGGATGGGACATTATGCTGTTGGTCACTTTCTCAAATTTTCCTGGACTTTCTGTTCATGCTTTCCATCTCTTTCATTTGTTATATGTAATGTAATGAAAATAATTTAAAAAATGCATCCAATATAAACTAATATTTCTCCATAATTTTAAATCAGTAAATATCAACATTTTTTTTTTTACAGAAGCACAACGTTATTGAGCATGAAATACATTTTTGTCTAATAACAGAACTATGTTTTATAAGCGTGATTTATGAGCATTTGCCAACAAGGTGAAACAAGAGACCATTCACAGTTCTAAGGTTACTACTTCAATTTCTCTAACACGCAACATCCTGGATGTAAATACGCAACAAAACATTTTTCTAAGAACACCAAAAATAAATCATTATTGAATCATGTGATAACCATAGAGCTGGGAGAAAACATCAAGTTTTAAACAATAACAAAATAAATGACAAATTTAATACACAGATTGCAGACTTCCATAAAACAAATATAATGTATCGTTAATTTTTAAAGTTCTATCAAGAGAGAGGTAGCAATAGCATATTAAGACTCCAGTCAACCCTATTGGTTCTTGTTCATTGGTCCTATCCTAATTTTATCATATTTTAGATGGCTTTCATTAACTTGAAACAAGACATTAAAGATTCAGGAAGCCTTATGATCAATGTCCATAATACAATATAGGATTGCTTGATAACTACAAAGGGAAAAACACCACAAATTTTGTAGAACAATGGCAAACTATTTTGATGTGAGTTTTGTGTCAGGAAAATAATACAAGAGTGATCTTTTGCTCTACCTGATGTGTTACTCTTCTGAACACTTAGTACCTTCCCAAATACTTGCGAAGAAAAATTTGCAAGTGATTCGGGTGGAAAACTAAATGACAAAACTAAAATGCAAACAATGAATACTATCTTTACGATGAAGTGTCTTACTTGTTACTTGTCTTCCTAGCCGTTTTCTTTCATAGAAAACATATGGCCGTCATTGACTGATTTGCATGAAAGAGATCTTACTTTAAAGAAGTGCTCCTCAATTATTCATATATTTATTTTATTTTATTTCACTTTTATTTATTTATTTTTTATTTTATTTTTTTTAGTTTGTTTTTTTATTTTATATATTTTTTATTTTCCATTTTTTTTTTAATTGTGTTATTTTATTATGTTACTTTACCTGTAACCCCAGGTGGGATGCTGTCGGGTACTCCCTTCCCGTGTCAGGAGGGTCCTGAAGCTCATCATATGGGCAGGGTCGCTCATCCCCCTGTCAGGTATCCCCCTATATCTAATGTACAGTGTATACCTGATGATTACCCAAATCTGCAGATTATACTATGCCCAGCCAATCATAATATAAATAGCTAAAGGATGTTTACGATAGTGGATATGTTTGTTATCTATTTAGAGGATGACTAACAAACATATTTAGTACTGTAAGTCACTTTGAGATATTGATGGAAACTGTATTAGCTGACGACTACTACTACTAATGTAAGAAGAGAAAGTGAAAGCATATGTTAGGATCTTTTGTTCTTTTAATACTGTTTATTTAGATTGCTTATTTCAGCAGACTTGTACTTGCTTTGAACACCATTCTTTGTTGTTTTAGGACCGCCCCCATTATTTCAGTTGTATATTATACTTGTTTCTTATCCCATTTGTACAGTCTCCTGACGAAGTCCACTGTGTGGACGAAAGCTAGAGAATAAATTATATATTGTTAGTCTCAAAAGTGCTGCTGTTATTTACTTTATACTTTCTATGTTAGGATACTCACTGTATCAAGGTGTGTGCGTTGGTGCTTTGCCCTATCGGAGGAGTTGCTGAAGGCTTTGGTACAACCAGGATGTTGACAAAGGTACGGCTTCTCACCTGTGTGTGAGCGTAGGTGTATCTTCAGGTTCTCCAGTCTTGAGAAGGCTTTGTTACAACCTTCAAACTGCAACGGATTAAAAAAACAAATTTATTTTTATGTCTACTCTCTTTGTAAATCTTAAACATTTTTTAACTTCAAGTTATAAATAAAAAATATTGTCCTATTACTGTGAACCAATATAAGTGCAATGAAAACATTACAACAATAAATTATGTATACAAAGTGAACTAGGCCTAAAAATGGTCTTTTTGGTCAGTAAAATATTTCAAATAGGTAACTTCATACAGTAAGTATTGTTATTAGGTTTATTACTTCTTCGAGAGGTTCTGATAAGTGAAATATTTCAAATTAGTAATTTACTTCCAAGATTATACAAGTATTTTTTATACACATACAATTTAGTACTCCAGAATTGGTAAACATTAAGCAATTTTTAAGGAAAAATACTAGTGGGTGGTGTAGAATGGAATTCCAAAGTAAACTTATTAATAGTGTGGAGTTTTGATAAATAGTTAAATATTTCAAATTGGTAACTTCTCTTCCATAAAAATACAAGTACCATATTGTTCATTTAAGATATGAAGTTTAGTATTATCAGAACAGGAATGTAAATATCATAAACAAAAATACCCAGCCAAACCAATACTTATTTATGCTCAATAGTCTTATCCTTAATAATTATTAATGTCCAGTCATCCGTCATCTTTATTAAACTTATTTTAGGTGGCTTTCACAGGGGTCCCAAGTTTCCTGAAAGACACGGGAGTCTCCCAGAAATTGATGGCCTCTCGCACTCCCACAAGCAAGCAAGAATCTAATAATATTTGCATGTAAATTTTTACTACTTCATTCAATTGTCGCACAGAAATCAGTGCCAATGGGTATCATCATGTACAGCAAAATAAAATTAAATATGTTAAAAGAAAGATAAGATAGTATAATACATACTCCATCCAAGTATCGAAATGTACACCATCTTGTCGGGATTCAATATTTCAACATTAATTGTCATCATTGATGACATACTGTAATTCCTGATGATGAAATAATTAATGTCAAAATATTTAATCCCGGCACGATGGCGTGCATTTTGATACTCAAAAGAAAGCTCATTTAACAAGATCACCTGGATGGGACTGTTTTCAACTTGGGACAACTGCTTTCATTTTGGAACAACTTGGCTATTTCTAACATTCAGGAAGCTTTGTAAAAGTTTAACGGTCGGAGTGCGTTGCAAATTTCACATATAAAAAGAGACATTGCACAATAAACAATGATAAACATGATCAACTGCATGTCCCTTTCCCTATATCAGCTCAAAAAATTCCTCCAGTTTTAATATATATTTTCTTTTTAAGATAGCTAGAATAACTATCTTTGAAAAGCACAGATGGCAGAGTGCGGTCCTCAGGCCGCATGCGCCCCCCCAACGTCGATTTTTTAGTAGCCCGCGAAATGAATTAAAAACCCTATGTTTGCGGCCTGCCAAGCAACACTGGCTAGAAAACTCCTTGTTTTTTGACGGCCTGACATCGATCATATGTAAAAAGTAACATTAAAACTGGGAATAAAGTGGTGCAAAAACTATGTTCCAAACTAAGTTTGGTGCGGCCCTCTGTGTTGAATCATATCCGGCAATTTAGAGGTGCCATGATCATAAATTTTCTTACCTCACCCCAACCATGTTGGGCCTGAGGTGATCTAGACTCTCCATCTGTGATTGTCCCTCCCTGGACCCCCTCTATTTTGAATTCCTTGATTCTACTTGAGCGTTAGAGTTGCCGTCAGCCTTTGCTAATCATTGAAGGTCAAATGATCACCACTTATCATGTTGTACTCAAAATAATTGATGTTTGTAGAGTCCTCTGGGAGTTGTACTGTATGACAACTGAACAATAGCTTCACTATAAATTATATTGTTAATGTTATCATAAATATGATTTTTATTATCACCATAAATATCAATAACGCTACTATAGCATCATCACCACCATCATACACATTACCATCACTACCACTACCGTACCATTATCACTTCATTAACAATAAATTGAATTCATCACCAACATCATACACATTACCATCACTACCACTACCGTACTATTATTACTTCATTAACAATAAATTGAATTCATCACCACCATCATACACATTATCATCACTACCACTACCGTACCATTATCACTTCATTAACAATAAATTGAATTCATCACCACCATCATACACATTATCATTATCACCTCTCATTATCATGTCATTTAGCATTTGCTTTAAAAATTTAAAAAAATGTGAGTGAATTTATCTATATTTTTGCAAGATGCCCTACAAATTAGTCTAAAATTTTTGTCTCATGTAAAGGCCAACTCAGAGAGCGTCGGCTGACGCAGCCCGACCCGATTTATCGTCGGGGACAGTCTTAAGCCGTCGTGAGAAATATTAAACATGTTTAATATTCTACTACGCGACTGCCCCCGATGCACACCATTGCGTCTGCGTTCAACTCATGCAGACCCGACGCGACAACAAATCACGTCGGGCTGCGTCGGCTGACGCTGTCTGAGTTGACCTTAAGATATTGACATTCTAGGCCTCTAAATGGGTTATTTTTATTCCATCTGATGAGTATCTTAAAAAATAAATTAATTAATTAAAAAAAAAACTTTTTCCACCCGCCCCTATTTATCATTTTTAAAAAAGGGCAAAGAAAATCATCATCACCACTCATTATCATCTCATTTACAATAGGCCCATTATCATAACCACCACCATCATACACATTATCATTGTCACCCACTACCACTATAAACTCATTATTAATCATCATCATCACCACCATCATTATCTACCTGATTTAACAACATTATCACCACAACTATCATTATCATTAAATATCATTACCATCAACATCATAATCATCATCAACATCATCATCCCTATTGCCACCAATGCTCGCATAGTTGTCAATCATATCCAGTGTAAGGCCTTAGGCAAACAGTACTGTCTGAGTTTATTATCATTATCATCAATAGCAAAGCAAAAGTAAAACTTTCTTGGCAGTGTTCCAGGCCACTTCATGTTACCTTGACAGTTCTTTTCATGTGTTTAATGTTTCCACCATTAGAGAATTCTAGGATGAATCATGGCTACAAGCTATCAAATCACAATGTATTACAGGTACATCTACATTCGCACACATACTTGTAACTCTTTTGCGAAGTTCATTGACATGAAATTTTATGTTTAGATTCATAAATAAAAACCTTTCAAAAAAATAAGTTAAAATTTTTGTTGAACAATCTACTTAATCTTTTTGTAATGCATTACATATAATTATTATATTGTAAAGCGCCATTAGTATGGTATGGTAGTTGGAAGGTCATGGGTTCGAATCCCACTTAGAACCATCACTTACTTATCACTATCACTTACTTATCACTGTATGATGCCTTAAGAGTTTTGCTTGTTTTTATTTTTATTTATACAATCCTGAAGATTGTACGATTTGATCCAGAGGGTGGTGTATAAGAGACAGGTGCGGTCCTCAGGCCGCATGCGCCCCCCCAACGTCGATTTTTTAGTAGCCCGCGAAATGAATTAAAAACCCTATGTTTGCGGCCTGCCAAGCAACACTGGCTAGAAAACTCCTTGTTTTTTGACGGCCTGACATCGATCATATGTAAAAAGTAACATTAAAACTGGGAATAAAGTGGTGCGAAAACCATGTTCCAAACTAAGTTTGGTGCGGCCCTCTGTGTTGAATCATATCCGGCAATTTAGAGGTGCCATGATCATAAATTTTCTTACCTCACCCCAACCATGTTGGGCCTGAGGTGATCTAGACCTGTCTCTTATACACATCTAGATGTGTATAAGAGACAGGTGTATACCTGATGATTACCCAAATCTTAAGTTAAAATTTTTGTTGAACAATCTACTTAATCTTTTTGTAATGCATTACATATAATTATTATATTGTAAAGCGCCATTAGTATGGTATGGTAGTTGGAAGGTCATGGGTTCGAATCCCACTTAGAACCATCACTTACTTATCACTATCACTTACTTATCACTGTATGATGCCTTAAGAGTTTTGTTTTTATTATTTATACAATCCTGAAGATTGTACGATTTGATCCAGAGGGTGGGCACTTAGCTAAAATGTATTTTACATTTTAGCTTTATAGTTTAAGGCCTGTTTATACTTCAACGATAACGATAACGATAAAAAAGCTAAGCAGCGATTGTTTATATAGAAAACAAAAGAAATAAGAGAAGTTTTTACATTAGGATGATTTGATAACGATTTATCGTGTATACGATAACAACATATTTTAACAAATCAAATTACATGACGTCATAATCATGGAAAAACTATAAAATCGTTGCAACTACTACGATTTTAATGTTTTTCCATGATTATGACTACATCTGATTTGATTTGTCAAAATATATTGTTATCGAATAACTGATAAATCGTTATCGAATCGTTCTAGTGTAAAAACTTATTTTATTCCCTATATGAACAACTGTTTTTTAACTTTTTTATTGTTATCGTTATCGTTCAAAGTATAAACATGCCTTTATAGCAGAATAAATTTAATTTTATATCTATCTGCCTGTACCTGCTTTTTCCATATGATATTCTGTATATTTACCTCAATTAAAACTATAAATATTAATTACTTATTAATGTTATTTATTGACCGATATTGTAATATGTTTTTTAAGTGAAGTTTATAATTACCATATGATTTTAGCACCAACAAGTACAGTAGTAATTTATTGGAATTATGTTTAATGTTCAGTTAATAATATAAAGGTATACAACATGCTAATGTCTTTTTGTCAATTTTATTTTATATAAATTTATATTTAATTCTGTTTTCACAATATCAGCCACTTTTCTCTGCATATTCCTCCATGTTATTTAACTAAAAGAAGCAACCATCAACTTTTATCTATACAGTGTAAATAGTATTACTGTATCTTTCTATTCATCAATATATTTTAACTCTTATAATACAACATTCAAATCCACATTGAATATCACTTTGTTTACATTT